GCCATAGCAGCAGGCGTAGGGCCACTTGTTTTTCTCCAGCACTGCAAGGCGCAGCCGGCTTGCCCAGCTGTTGTCCTGCTCTGTAACGGAAGGACAGGAAAGAGACCGAAGTGTTTTCTGGCTGGCTGTGCAGAGGAGAGGGATGCTCCCGGGTGCCGCTTCTGCCCTGCTGGACAGAGGTTCTTTGCCATGGCCATCCCCACTCTGCTTTGCATTGCAGTGAGCTCTTCTACCTGATTTTACTCCACTGTGTGCTGCCAGTGGGGCTGCCTGATGTTTGACAGTTGCTGGACAACACTTCTTGACTGCAAGCTGAAGAACTGGATATTCTGAATCTTCTTGCCAATCATTAATCTGCTCTTTCAAGGCAAAGGCACCACCACGCAGAGTGCCAGGACAACACATAGGCACCAATTAAATCTTTGGCAGGACTGTAAGCAGTACACGTTACAGCAGTTGCTGGCCTTTCTGCTCTCGGCAGCATTGATGTGCTTCCTGCCACCGGCTCTCTGTGCAAACAGAGGGGAATGGAGTTAATAGGTAACCACAGCAGTGTATTCAGTGTGTCCTTTGCAAGGGTCATGTTTGGGAATTTCCTTTTCCTAGGATCTCAGGTGTGTTTACTATGTGCAGAGTTCTTCGTGGACAGTTTAGGGGCAACATATGGTATAGTCTTCAAATTCTCTTCATCAGCTAATTCTTTGACTTCTTTGTTAGTTGTGTGTTAGCTACTCTATTTTTAGAAGACTAACTAAATACTACAACAGTAGTAATCCCAGAGCTATTTTTGTCTGGAGTGATGCAGAAGTGGCTGAACTCACACAGGGAACCCTGAGTCCTCAGTGGAATGTAGGTGTCTTGGAGGCAGCTCATGGCCACTGCTCTCCTGCTCGTATGCTCTGAGACGAATGGCTTTGTGAGGAGATGACCTGGGAAGACGGTCCCATTTCTACTTGGCAGTAGGGAAGAGGAGAAAAATTATTCAAGCTTGACCGAAGTGCTGGTGGGAACATGATTCCTGTCATGAAAAGTTCCTCCTTGGCTGAGATGAAGTGCCTGTTTCTTTTCCTCTGACTACACTGGAGGCCTCAGGGCCCGAGCTCACATTTAGATGTCTAACTCTGAGATGTCTAAATTACAGCAGATGAGCCACTCTGCCTGGCCAGAATTTGCCAGAATCTTTGCGTAGGTCTCGGCCAAGTGCTGATCTCCTTGTTTCCCATTGTAGTCTGGAGATTGGCACTGCAGAGGGTGATTTACTCATCACTCCAAACTTCCCTCTGGGGGACTCTTTTCTCTTGGCCAGAAAGGTATTTTGAGGGATCTTCTTCTGGCCAGGCTGAAGGTCTCCTTGTGAATCCTATCCCCCAGAGCTTGCAGACAACATATTCCCCATGGCTTGTTCCTCCACTGGCACTACAGGAGATAATTAGTGCGTGGCTAAGTCATATGTGCTAAGGGTCAGAAAAGACAATGAGGCAGATTTTCCCCTGGAGTAAAGAAATGTCAACAGAGTTGCACTGCAGTGAAATGATGGAATCTGTCAGTGACCCTGGCCCTTTCACTGAACAAACAGCCCAGGGCAGTGCCTTCCTCCAGAAGAATGGCACCGTCTGGCAGCCAGGCACCCTTGTGAATGCACATGGTGTGGCTTTCCCAGGGGCTGGTGTCCCCAAGAAACATGCTGCCCAGAAGGGCAGCGGGGGACTTGATACAAAACTCCTGTGCACAACATAATTCCTCATGTGCTGCTACTTGGTATTTTTGTAAAAACATGCCTCAGCCCTCAAGTGAACAAAATACCTGCCCTCCAGGGCAACAGGAGGAAGAACACAAACTTGAAAACCAATTTCCTGTGCAGTTTTGAGATATTTCAGTAGGGCTTGAAGACAGTAAAACAGAACAGACAGACTGGTCATCTTTGTCTTTGCCACACCCAGATCAAGGAAGGTCTAGTCTCTTTTGCATCCTTCAGTTCGGTTCTTCTAGTGCACAGGCATTACCTGTGAATTAAAAGGTGCATGACTAACACTGTGAAACAAGGTGTCTCTTTGGCTGTTTCAGTGCTTCCTGGAATAGGGGAATTATCTTTTCTGTGGCTATGGTCCACATCCAAACCAATCCTCATCTGTACCCTTCATCCATCTCCCCCAAGTCTGTTACCTGATGTTGTACAGCACAGCGTGGAGACCAGGAGTGGCTACACCTTTGGTCTGGGGTATGAAAAGCAAGAAAAAGCTTTTGATTCTTCAAGGGGATCTTACAATCCAGGAGGATTTCAACAAATTGTGATGGAAAATAAAAATAAGCTCTTTTCACAGTCCAGCAGTCTTGTGTATTAAAACAAAATAATCCTCTTGGGTTTCACCTTGATGCTGATATGCTATAAATGCCAGCATTGCTTTTTATTGTGCTCACATTCCTCTCCAGTTCCAGGTAAAAGACTAACTGTCTCTCATCCTTTTCTTGGAGATGAATCTGTCAAGTGTGCCCCCTTTCATTAGCCTTTTGCGTTACTAATCACTTTCTAATTTGTATCTTTGGGACTTAAAAAATTTTATCTGTAAAAGATCACATACAGAGGTGATATTCTAACGCTGTAGTGGATTTGTCCAGTTACAACACATGGTGAAACGTCCTGTGCATATGAGATTGCAGTGCAGCCAATTATCGTTAGCATATCTGTCCTCTGGCAGCTGAAGGCAGTGCGTTCATTAATGCCTTTAGCTCTGCACTGGCAGATAGCCTCAGCATGCTGGTGTGCGACGGTGGTGTTTTCTACAGGACTTTGAGTTAGCGCCTTGCTCTTCCAAGCTGCTTTCAACACATGCTGCTTGCCTTTTCGCTCTGCAGCAATAGCTACAAGCCTGTCATAAGGGTGGTTTATAAAACAAATGGTGTATTCTGTCAATGAGGTTTGAGCCAGCTGAGAGAAAGTAATGGCTGGGCTGTGCTGGGGGCACTCTTGTTGGAGTCGCAGGCAGTAGTACCAGGAGCCCACCTCACCCCTTTGCCAGGTGTTGCTACACTTGCCTCTGTGGAGGGAGTGGGGAGCGTGGTCCTGGATGGGCACTGAGCCAACCCCTTCCTCAGGTGCCCAGCATACCTCCCCAGTGCGGTGCAGAACCCAGCTGCCACCAGGCAGCAAGAGGCCCTGGAGGCCCTTTAGTGCTTTGCTGTCTCTTGCGTACTGCTTGGCTCCTAAGGCATCACAGCAGTGAGGACCATGATACCCAGAACTGTCACAGGTTGCTCAAGGAAACTTGAGAAAACTCATAGAATTGTACAGCGCTGGGAGTCAAGGCAGCTTTGCACTGCTCTGAATCATCCTGCTTGTTTAGGCACCCATGTTGGACCATGTTCGCTCAAATAACTGGCTTTGCACAGTGGATTAAGGGAGACCTAGGATTAGAAGTATTCAAGAGATCTTTGTAAACTGTCAACATTCATTTAAAAATTGCTCCACATGGGGCCTAAACTCATGCAATTGAACACTTGACCGCATCCTGTAAAACAGGGCAGCGCTTCTATCCTGGGAGCTGTACCAAGTTGTCTCCAAGTGCTTTTAATTTACTAATAATACTAGTGAGATATTTGCACTGTGTCCTTGCGCCATGGATCCCAGTAGAACAGCATGTCAGGGTGTTAAAAAGATGTCAGTGTGCTTCTGTGAAGGACTTCCTATGGACGATGATTGCTACAGCCCAAAGAAAAGTCCTTCTCAGATGACATGTAACATTGCAAATATGTCCAAAGCCAATGATTATTTTCCACATAAAAGGAATTTTATTTGCCTTTGGTGGCATAGGCCACTGGGATCTCTTTCTAAAGCTGGCAGTGTTTCCAAGTTTCTAAATAAAGCAACCGTATGACACAGACCTGAGATAAAAGTTTGGGGTAGAAAGCAGGGAGATATTCACATGAGAAGAGTACGCAGGATGGTTTTTGATAAGATGGCTAAAATGGAAGGAAATGTAGTAAAAGAGAGGATCTAATGTGGGACTCACACTGTAGTCTCACGAGTGGTATTCAGTGTGTTAAAGGCTCCTATACATCTCTGCTAAATTAGGCAACAAAAGGTTTTGCCTATTAGTCAAAGAGACATCCCAGAGAATGAGACATCAGTCATAGCTGGTGGGAAGGGTGATGCTCGTCTTCCCCATAGCGCCGCAGAGCTCTGCTGCAGAGCTGCTCCCTCTCCCGTGAAGTACGTAGCACAGGTGGTTAGGTGACACGGACAATCCTCACATGCATCGTCTTCTGCTCTTTCTAGGCACTTTGGGCTGGTAAGATGATGATGTGCAGTTCAGCCCCCCGTGTTTGTAGTACATTGGAGTGTATGTTTGTAGTACATTGGAGTGTATGTATTGGGGTAGACAAAATGCTTGCCCTGCTTGTTGGCCTGGATAAAGCTACACGCTTTATCTAAAAGCTAGGTCAAACCACAGGGTTTTGATTTGCAGGCTGGAAAGGGACGAGTCCGCCCTGACACCATGGGTGTTTGCGTTTGAGTGTGTGGCACTGCTGAACGCAGCCCATGAAGCACTGAAGCGCTCAGCCTCCTTACTAAGGAAGGTGCAGAATGTTCAACTCAGCTCGACATCACAATTTCATAGAGAGATCCTGCTGCCCATCAGTAAAGTGGCTTTTCTCCAGTGCAGAAAGCCTCTGTGCTGGGATGCTGGGACTCTTGGGCTCAACTCCTCGCTAGAATTTCTGTGCAAGTGAGAGCAGGTGTCAGAGCAAACCATGGCAACACACTAAGAGCAGTGGGTTCAGAGGGAGATGTTCGTTTAGGAAATCATGGTGGTTGTGATACCTGGGAAGGGTCTCATCCAAATCCTGACTAGTCTCGAGTGCTTGTTCAGCTTGTGAAGTCAGGCAGCCTGTCCTCTCAACAAGGGGTGACGTAGCAGGCAGCATGCCAGGGCCAGGAATGGTTATCAGTCATGAGGATGGTTAGCAATCAAGTAAGAAATGTCTGCTGTACTTTTCAACAGAAAGATTTCCAGACTGCAGTTCAACAAGGTGAAGCTGGAAGATGCTGGGGAGTACAGCTGCGAAGCAGAGAACGTTTTAGGTAAAGACACCGCAAAAGGCAGCCTGAATGTGAAAAGTGGTAAGTGAAGAAGCCAGAAAATGTCTTGAGCTGTCTGCCATTGAGGCAGAAAGCCGGAGGTTCTGCACATGATCTGTCTTGTATTTTGTTTCATGCTTTCAGGATACTGAGTAAAACAATCTTGGGAGATAAGAAAAATGCAGCTTAGCATAAATGTTTATCTTTGTTATCTGTCACTGGCAATGTGGTTAATTTACATTTTAAATAAACTTACAGTCCATGTATTTTTTAAAAGGGGTAAGGAGGAAAGAAAGCTGGTGGGCTTGATGTTTTATTTTTTAAAGAATTTCTGAGAAGCAAAACTCACCAGAAGACAAGTAATTAAACCATAGCTTTGTGATGAGTGAAGTTGCTTCTGGTTTTCATCCTAGAATGTGTGCTCCATCTCTTAGAGCTCAGCGGATGGAGTCTGAGGTTAGGTGGTTTTATTATAATCTTGGTCATAATAATTGTATTGCTTAACATGATGGTTTGGATGCACCCTTGAGCTCAGAAAGTCCCTGCAGTGGTTGCCAGAAGTCGGGAGGGTGCGACTAGGGGAGGGATTAATCTGCTCTGTTTCCTAAGCTCTTCTGCCCACCATTCACAACAGGCCACTGCGGAACCCTGGGCTCTGTGCTCTGCTGCCCCGTGTGTGATCCCGTTTCTCTCTTGTTGTGCTCTTATTAGCATTAGTCAAATGTGAAGGAAGGTAGCTTTCTCCTGCTGCTTTCTGGCGTTATTTTCTCTATTAACCTCTGCCTCAGCAGTGTTTGCAGTCTTGCATCTTTTTTTTTTTTCAGTGAAGCTGCGATATCTTATAGCCTCCCCCTCAGTTACTCTGCCTGTAAAAACCTGTGCTTAGGAAGGCCATCCATGCTCAGACCTCCATGCCTTCAGGCTTCACGCCTACGAAGCTAGCCCTACTGCTCTGCTGTGTTTCTTCCCAGTCGCAATAGGAAAGGTGTCCAGAGTAAGCTAAGTGAGGCAATGCCAGTCCTTTTGCCCATCGCAATGTAAGCTGTTCTAAGTGGGAGCTGCACGGGCAACATGCACGGGCAGTGTGTGCCTGCCATTGGAGCCCTGCCTGCCTCCTCCATGTGCCCTTCCCAGCTGCTAGCAATCCACTTTCACAAGAGGAGGAGTGTGAGTGAACCGCTGCAAGGCGCTGATCCTGCACGCTGCTTGTGGCACCAGGAAAATGCACATCAGGCCTCTACAGCTGCAAACTGCCCCTTCCCTCCCTCACAGGCAATGGCAGCATTTGCCAGGGTTTAACTCTTCCTCCACAGGAAGGCACGCTGTCTGGCAAGGATGGGTGGTTGCTCTCAGGTCATGAGGGCACGAGGACACACCTGAGTTGCCCAGAAATGTGTCGAGACCTGAAAAGCAACCAAAGAGACCCAAAGATCTGCCCTGCACCTTTTCCTACTGGGAGCTGCAGGCTGCAAGGTGCTGCAGATCCAGCAGATTGCCTGCTGTGCCCTGTGGTGGCAGTGCCTTAGTTAATCCATTTCCTGAGCTGCCATGCAAATGTGCCTGTGGGGCACTGCTCTCAGCTGCATGCACACCTTGGTGCTGCTGTTTGCAGGTCACCTGTCAGGACAGCAGCTGAATGCTAGCTGGAGTTCCTTGCAAAGGTAAACAAGGTGATGGTGATCACTGTAGGCTTTTGCAGCTCTGTCACCCCCCCTTTGCACTCTTTTTTTTTTTTACTTCCCCCTGGAGCTACCCAGATCCCAGCAGCCTTCATCTGTGCCCAGGCACTTGCTGTCCTGGAGCCTCCCTCTCTCCTTACTGCTGGGCCAGATTCTTGGGACCTTGATAGCTTTCCTCACTTCTGCAAGCTCCCTTCTTCTCTGATATCTTTCAGTGGAAAACTCCTCAGGGCATCTGCTTGTCTCTGAATCCACATGCACACTGTCTTCTGTCGCTGCTTGCATTCTTCTCCAGGCTCCTGAGCACTGGGTGTATTGCGTCTGAGTCTCAGCACAGTGCTGTGGGAGGTTCTAGAAGCCCGTAACAATTAATCCGAGCAGACATGCGAGCTGGCCTCCCCTCAGGACCTTCCCCTCTTTCCCAGGAGCTCCCTCCAGCTATTGCTGCTTCTGTATGTTCTGCTGCTTTATATTCTGCTTCTTTACTGCTGCCTTGTCCCTGGGAAGCTGGCACATCTGCCTGTCCCCGGGCAGGCTGGCTGGAACTGATGCTCTGCGACTGTCTTCTGGAAGCAGGCTTTCTGACCTGACAGCTGGCAGGACTGTTGGAGGTCCTGGAATGTTGCTGTGATACAGGCGGGTGAATCCAGGCCTGGGAAAAGGTCCTGACCTAACACTACACCTTGTGACACAGAGGCACGAGGTTTGGGGACATCGCTGGGTGCCACTGTAGAGAGGTGGCATTGCAAGAGGTGGTCTGAGCTGCTGAGGCTTGAGATGAGTGTTGTGGAGCAGCAAGGTGTCCTCAGCCCCATGTGCCATTCCCCTCCGGGGGGCAGAGGCCAGAGACGGAGGCTCCTGAGCCCACTGGAGTCCTGGCTGGCAGAGAAGGAGCTCACACATGAGACCCTCAGGCCCATGGATGTGAAGGTCTGAGATTCAGTCTCTGCTGGGAAAAATGTCTCAGCCTGAGAGGCAGCATTGCCATGCTCTATTCCACTACCTCTTTTTGGTTTATACCAGTTTCAAAAGAACACCTTTTCAGCCATGCAGATTTGTTGCAGATCCCCAGAACCACCACACTGAAGAGAGATTTTCTTTAGAAAGAGAATGGCTGAAGTTCCCTCAGTTCAAGAGGGACAGGGAACTGCTGGAGAGAGTCCAGCGCAGAGCCACAAAGATGATGAAGGGAATGGAGCATCTCCCTGCTGAGGAAAGGCTGAGGGAGCTGGGTCTCTTTAGCCTGGAAAAGAGGAGACTGAGGGGTGACCTAATCAATGTTTATAAATACGTGAAGGGTGAGTGTCAGGAGGATGGAGCCAGGCTCTTCTCTGTGACATCCAGTGACAGGACAAGGGGCAATGGGTTCAAGCTGGAACATAGGAGGTTCCACTTGAATATGAGAAAAAACTTCTTCACGGTGAGGGTGACAGAGCACTGGAACAGGCTGCCCAGAGAGGGTGTGGAGTCTCCTTCTCTGGAGACATTCAAAGCCCGCCTGGATGCGTTCCTGTGTGATCTGATCTAGGTGTCCTGCTCCGGCAGGGGGATTGGACTGGATGATCTTTCGAGGTCCCTTCCAATCTCTAACATTCTGTGATTCTGTGATTCTGTGAAGTGCAGCGACCCCTTGTCACTTAGAAAATGCCCATCAGCCAAACCCATTGCCTCATCTCTCCTCTGCAATTCCAGTATTTCCGCAAAATGCTCAGCTCAGAAATGCTTTTGCATTGAAAAGCTTTGGGAGGGTATAAGTTTCTGAAGGAAATGCTTCTAGATTTAGCCAAAACATTATGCTTTGGTGCCATTTTCAGATTATTATTGCTTTGAGGTAAATTAGATGCTTTCTTAGAAAAATGTTCCATTTCCTAGTTCTCTTTATTGAGTGGTCTGTTATTGGTATGACAGGGGCATGAGAGCACAGCTGAGATGTGGCTGCTTCAGATTCTTTTCCTCACAAAATTTCTGGACACCTTAACTGACACACACACCCCTCCCTTTGCTAAACACCGCAGAAAAAAAAAATCAGAATTTTACAAACAGTCTTTCTGCTTTTACCTTTTCCTGGTGGTCTCCCCCCTGTCTCTGGCAGGGCGCTGCACGCACAGTGTGGGCTCCTGGTGCTTTCTCCTTTGTGCATCTGGAGGGTGGTGAGGGGCTTTGGTCCAGAAGGGGCTGTTGCTGCCGGTGGGCTTGAGTGGAGCTGGTGACTGCAGACATTGGACTTCCCCAGTATCCTGGTTTATAAAAAGGAAATTGCTACATGCGCTTGGCTCCCGTGTTGCCTTGGGCCATGGCCTTCATCTGTTTCAAGTTCCTCCATCTCTTGTGCAAGCATTACTTTGTGCTGCAGAACTGCACATACCTGTGGGATGGAGGCTTCTCAGATGATCTCACCTTTTCTTAAACTCCACATTTTTCTCACTGTCACATTCTGTGAATCCCGTCTTTGCACTCTCATGGCCGTCAGGGCTACAAAACTTCCCACACTTTCGCTCACCACCTGCTGGGTGAATCCTGAGCCATTTCTGTCTTTTTGTCACGACGGAGATCCTAATGGCATGAGGCCCCTTACAGCGAGGGGACCGGGGTGCCCTGTGCCGTCCCCTGCGGGGACACTCGTTTGCCTGCCTCTGTTACCCAGTTACCATCTGAGTGTACTCTAACCAGCACTAACATGTTGACAGCCACCCCAGCCTGTGCCACCCAGCAGCGCCTGCTCTTGTCTTCCTCCCTCCAGCAGCTAAGCCCACTCTCTTCTGCTCAAAATAGATATTTTGTTCACTACTTTCTTACCTTAATTTCCCCAGGAACAACGAAAGCACCACAAGTCTTACCAGCCTCAGAAACTAAAATAGTTGTTATGGAAGAAGAGTGTAAGTACCTCTCCCCCTGTTTTCCCCGTACAGCTTCTTTCCCCTTATTTGTTTTGTTTTTATGAGACATTTTGCATAAATACTTTATTGCCTCCTGGAATCTTCTTTAATTGCTGTTTCTCTTTGATTTCTCCCAAAGCCACTCATCTTTCTCTAGATCTTTCATAAAATATTTCCCTAGATCTTTCATAAAATCTGACTTCTATTGCTGGTGTCTATCTTAGAGAGGGAGAGTTGATAACTATTGCAATGGTAACTTGAAGAACATGCGACTTGTAATTGCAGCTGGATTTTAAGCATTCCCAGCTCTTTCAATACCTGGGTTTATTGATACTTGTAAGATGTGCTTGTTATAGCCTTTGATTTACTTTTTTTTGTTTGTTTTTGGTTTGTTTTGGGGGTTGTTTTGGTTTTTGGTTTTGTTTGGGGGTTTGTGGGTTTTTTTTTGAGGATAGGCAAGAAAACCAAAAGAGTCTATAGGAAATAC